CTGTTGACTTTACTATTTTGCAAATATCATCAAGCTTTCTTCTAGGATTGTTCCTGTAACATGCTGCAATGTATTAATGGAGTTTTTTGTTGCATTTTATTTTTCTCCTGTCTTATGTTGTTTCAATATTTCCAGACTTTGTTGCATGTTTTTTTTGGCCAGGGATCCCCCATTATTTTCTCTCTTTGAGGTTTAGTTTTTCTGTATTCTTGGATAGTAAAATAATTTTTTTTGGCATTTTTGTTTCTTCACCAGTCTCTATAAGTATACTGATCAATTATATTATATTTTTTCTGTTTCAGAAATCTGCTGCTAAGCCCATGCAAGGACCACAGGGCTACTCAACCGCAGCTCCCTATGTAGGCTCTGGTGCACCCTCGTCAATGTATATAGGTGTGCCACCTTATGGTTCTTCCCTGCTCAATGGAACGTCAATGCCTCCATATGATGTTCCATTTCCTGGGGGTTCTGCATATCATTACACCTATGGCAGCCGCCTATCTGGAGGAAGCCCCTATCGACCCCTCCATCTATCTGCCCCATCACATTATGCTAGTGGATCTATTGTGGGCAACGGTAAGTGGGCTTTCGGTTGCTCCCTTGTGTTTTGAGGAAGAATGGAAGAAAATCCAATACTTGTTTGATCACCAATATTGTTTTGCTCAGTTAATTCCTTTTATCTGTTCTGCAACAGGATATTAATATACGGGGAAATGCATTTTTTTGGATGGTCTCTTTTATTTTGAGGCGTAATGAGCATTTTAGCATGATGAATAGTTTCCATTCATTATCTCATTGTTGAGGAACATTATTTCTTAATTGGCATAACTTTGCTCATTCTCTTATGAGATACATATTCTTATCCCGAGATATGGTTGTGGTTTCTAGTTGTTGCGTTCATAATCCTTTAAATTTCAGGTGGGATGTATGGGGTAGCCCCCTTGATGGACCGATATGGCTTTGGTTTGCCCATGGGACATGCTGTCATGGTAAGTATTAATTTGACCCCTATTTTGTAGTATTGTTGACCTTTTTTTACAATGGCATTGCAGAGTTGTACTCACTTATACATGGTAATTGGCTGACACCGATGTGGCACCTTAATAATGTTTTTGAATATAGGCTACCGTCCATGATCATTTCAAATTTGACATTTACTTTTAACTTTGTTACTTGTCTGGGTGAAAGATTATCTATCTCCTTTCTACACTTATTTTTCATGAAATCTGCATACTTGCTGTTTGGTGTGGTGCTGAATTAATGATTGAAATTTTTGTGCAGTCTCCAAGGCCAGGATACTTTGCAGATGATAAATCCCAAAAGAAAGGTACAGCTTTGAGATATAACTACTTTGTGTTTGAATTTGAAAGCAATGATTGGGTGTTGGTGGCTACTTTTCTCATGTACTGATTTTGTTTTGTTCCTTTCCTATACACTTCTAGATGGCACTCGTGAAAATGATTGGACATGTCCAAAATGTGGAAATGTTAATTTTTCGTTTAGAACCGTTTGTAACATGAGGAAGTGCAACACACCAAAGCCTGGATCCCAGGTTTGAGCCACTTTCTTCTGTGTTTGTACGCTATATTTTTTTGGATAATATTAATAGATAACATAGTTTCCTCTTCTTCATTATGTGTGCATCGGGTACTGTTGCCCTTGTACCTTGTTTGCGACCTTATATTTTGAAAGCCTATAAAGTTCAAAAAAAGTTTTAAATTTTTGTTGACTTGTAATATATTCTTGTTCTTTATGCAGGCTGCAAAGTCAGGAAAGAATTCAAGTAAGTCCTTGTTTATACTTTTAGAAACATAGTTAGCTTCATATTTGTAAGCACATACTTACATCTACCTGCTACTGTCTTCCAGAGCGAGAGATGCCTGAGGGTAGCTGGAAGTGTGACAAATGTAACAACATTAACTATCCTTTTAGGACCAAGTGTAACAGACAGAATTGTGGGGCTGAAAAACCATCTGAGCCAAATGAGTCCTCTTCAGAATCAGCCGATGAGAACGATCAGGTCTGTTGTATAATGTGTTTACTTTGTATGCTCATTTGTTTCCTGAAATTGTTATGTTCTTCAACCATCTGTGTACATAATTCAGAAGAAATTCACATTAACAATTTATATGTAGCTAATCATCTCTTACGACTACTTTTTTTCTTTCTCATTTGTTTTCTTTTCTTTCTCACTCGTAGGATAGATCTGTCCATTTTAATTTATATTTTGCTCCTACTTTTGCATTTATTGATTCACACTTGTCTACTGTTCCAGTGAGTACTAGGACATGTTTGAGAGTTGAGAAGGTCCAGGGTCGTCGTCCAGCATTGCTCAGTATGGGTCTCTGAAAGTCAGTCATGTCGTCTCTGTTGCAGCGGTTGTCGAGTTACTCTGCCTTCTCATGATCCTGTGTCACGTTGTTGTAGTTACTGAAATGGTATTTATGGTCTTTATGGATCCTTTTTAAGTTGCATCATGTGTCAGCCAGCTTGTTCAGGCAAGATTTTCAGGTAGGTTCGGCTTTCTATTTTATAGGATTTGTGCACCTGGTATCGCATCTATTTTAGTGGGTATTGTTAACATGCATTTGAGTTTATGCTACTAGCAGCATAAGGGCTTACTGCAGCCTGCATTGTTCTGGTTTCCAATTCAGTTTGACTTGGTTCTATGCAGTTAAAAGCATCTGTGCTCTGGCAGATGCTTCTGTTAGAAGTTTATGTCCATGATCTTGTATGTTTACAAGGATCTCCTTTTCTCTCCATTAGTTGTCTGTAACAGAGGGCTACTTGTCTTTGTATTATCCTAAATGGTTATGCTTGTTATTCTTTATGACCATTACAGTGACTAGAGGCCTATATGTGATGACACAAAGATGTGTTTCCAGATCATTATCATTCTGGATTCAGCATTGGGTGGGTGATTTGTTTGAACTGTGTTTGTGAGGTCCCATTGTTCGGGGTAATTGGGTTCAGTTAGAGCTATGTTTAAACTGAGAACTAGAATATGTTCTGTGATTGTATATGGATTTAGCATCAAGTGTTGGTGAATGTGAACTAGTATGGAATATCCCTCCAAAAAGGTCACAGTTTGAAAATGTCATCTAAGTGGGAGTTTTTCGTGTCTGTTGGTGTTTGTGAGGTTCCATTGTTCGGGGTAATTGGGTTCAGGTAGAGCTATGTTTAAACTGAGAACTAGATTATGTTCTCATATTTCTGTGGTCATATATGGATCTGGCATTGAGTGTTTGTCAATGTGAACTAGTATGGAATATCCCTCCACAATGTCACAGTTTGAAAATGCTACCTATGTGGGAGTTTTTCCGTCTGGTTGTGGTTTCCCGCCATTGAGGGATCACCATTTTCTATGTTGATAAAAGCATGTACCCTGTACAAAGTATATATAATCAATGAGTCTTGATCTTAATTTTTTTCACAGTTTGTCCTGTCATTATTTTGCTGATCTTCTTCCAAATGGGATGCATTGACGTTTGTAACATGTGCTCTTATTAGTTGGAGTAAAGGAATAACATTGTCATACAAGAAATACTAGAGTAAATAAGGTTGGTGTTGTAGTTGAAAGTTGCCAAGCTAGTATGACTTGCAGATGAATTTATGTATAGTCCAAGGTTAGTATGACTAAGCAAAACCGATGGAGGCCAATCTGTTTTATGCATGTGGTGGAGGTTGTGATCTATATTTTTAGCTATTATGTGTTATTTAAGCAATCCGCAGGTGCTTGATGATTGTAACTGTAGGAAGAATTTTTTTTCCTTTTGGTTGGGGATTGATCCAGGTCTATTTTATTGCTGAATAACTTCCATACATGAAATGTTTAACAACTATCTCTTGTAGGGATAACTGTTGTGTTGTGAACACAAGTGCTGTGCAAGAATGGAGATTTTATTTTTCATTGGCAAAAAATGTCGTAAAGAACTCTTAGTTGGAGTAAAAATTTCTGAGTGAAAATATCAGTTTTTGAGTGAAAATACTAATTTTTTTAGTAAAAATGTTACTCTTTGAAGGAAAATTTCATATTTTTGAGTGAAAATATCACTTTTGAGCAAAAATACTAATTTTTGAAAGAAAATATTATTTTCTGAGTGAATAATCCACTATTTAAGTGAATATTTCATTTTTTGTGATAAAATGTCACTTTTGGTAAATTGCTCAATTGAATTTCCAAATGATGGGACTTATGTACGATTCGATATCATGTGGCTCAATGGGAGTTATCAAATTATGTTGTTAAAGTAGGCGTTTGCTGTAAAGTGTGCCTAGGTATTGAAAAGGCCCGAGCTGGCCTGGGCATAGCACACCATAGGCTATATACTTTTTCCGGGCTCTTCCCTGCCCAGGAAGGTGGATCACTCTTTTACCTTTTGACTTGCCAAGATCCATTAATTTATTGAGGCCCAGCCTGGAGACGTTTCCTGGGCCCTTGCCAGGCCAGTCCTGAAACTTGATTCTGAGTGGGGCCTAAATATTGCCCGCTCCAACTCAACGAGGTATTGTTCAATTCTTAGGCCAGGTATATGGGCCTCATCGCCTACTTCATTTTGCTTGGTCCAAGTTGAAGCCCAACTCAATGGCAAGATTATGGCCATTCCTAAAAGACAGTCCTTTAGCTTTATTTGATCTGGTTAAATTTATGGACTCAGTAATCCCAATAATAGGCCCAACTAGCTCACTTATGGGTTAAATTTATGGGCTCAGCGAGCCTAATACTAAAGCTAGCACTTTGATCTTGTAAATTATAGGCTCAGCAGTACCGAGCCCAAATAGCCCACTGATGGCTTAAATTTATGACTAAGCCCAATATTAACTATATCCAAACTAACTTATTTTGTTAAATTTATGGGCTCATCAGGCCCAACGTTAAGCCAAACTAGCCCACTGACGTAATTATAACTCATTTAAAAAAAACAAAAAATGACCAATGACAGTGCTGGGAACGTAAACTTAAATGTTTTAAAACTTGTCCAACCATAACTCCTGCAGATCAGCAAGACTTTGTTCATGTATTTGCTTGGCCACGGGATACAGTTAGCAGATTATGAACCCTCCTCGGCTCCAGATCCTTTCAACTGCACATTTGTCTGATTGCCAGTACAATGCCAAGAATATACATTCCAAAGCAGGACTAGAAACTTTATTTTTCTATCTTATAGAAAGGTCAAAGCCAAGGAATATCAACCTGTCTATTGATTGCAGCCAACTTCTCAGCTAATTCGGCTTCTTCTTTCATCAATGGTAATCAACAACCTTTTCCTTCCAATGCCACCAGTATTTTCATCACCTTTTCACAAAATATAAAATGCAAGCATGCATGCAACAAGAAGTAGGATGAGCATTAAAAGCACACACTACTGTTGCAACAAAGATCAAGAGTGCAGTACTTGCTTGTCTCACTCTTAAGAGGCGCCTTTGAAGTCCTTGTTCTTTCTGTCTCAGCATTTTGTTCCAGGGAAGGGTGTCAGCTTGAAAATGCCTCTGCAGCTGCAAAACATATAGGCAAGGGAAAAGAATATGCTGAATTCCATGTTTGAGTGCGCATGAGAGAGAAGGGGGATAGGTCTTCCTTTGGGGGGGAAATTCTTTATCTTTAGCATTTTGGGACCTTGTTGAGAGGGTTGGAGAAAGATGGGGTAGGTGGAAGAGAGCTTATAATGCCAAGAAAGATTGTAATGAGAATTGGGAAAATGATAGAAATTTTCTTTTGTGAAAAGAAACTGATGAGGAAAAAAAGGATCAATTAGTGAATTGGGAATAAAATTTTCTATAGCATTCAATTATTAAGAGCAAATATAGATTACATGTCAATAGATGGGATACTAAAAAGGTTGACAAGGGAACGTATCAATACTCATAGAAGTTTATTTCTCCAGGACTTTCGAAGTTCTCTCAATATGTATATTCATGGTGAGCAATGGGGCAAAATTCCCTTTTATGAGGATATTTGGGTGGACTCCTCACCTTTTTTCATGTATGTTTCCTCGTCTTTATCATTTATCTCGTTCTCATGGTTGTTCTATTGCTTCTATGTGTCATTATTCTAATCAATCAATTTCTTAGGATTTTAGATTTCATAGAAATCTTAATGATAGAAATTCTACGGATTTGGTGTCATTACTATCTTTGATTAATGAGGTTAAGTTATATCATAAGTTAAGTGATAAAAGAAAGTGGTCTTAAGTCTTCTGGGTGATTTTAGTGTAAGTCGTTCTTTGACAAACCAATTGATAATCCTTTAGACTCTGTATTACCCTCTATGATGATTTTGAAAGCTAAGGTGTCTACCAAGGTTCAAGCTTGTGCATGGACCATCGCTCATGTAAGATAAATACAAATGATGTGCTTCAAAGAAAAAGGTCATTCTTTGTATTTTTCCACAATGGTGTGTCATACGTGCATGTGCTTTTCTTGGCACCATATGGGTATTATGGTTGGAAAAAAAACTTTAGGATTTTTGAGACTGGAGTAGAATGGAAGGAACGTTTATGGGACCACATCTATTTTTTGACATCATTGTTGGATTCCATTACGAAAGAATTTGATGGTATTCCGCTTTTTTGTATTTTAGCGGATCGAAAGGCCTCATGTGATACATAATTTGATTAGTTGAGATTTGTATTTTTTAACTTCATGGTTGGACATGTTGTCCATCCATAGTGCTTTTTGATGTATCATTTTAAATCAATAAAAGTTGTTTTGTTGCCTATCAAGAGAGAGAGAGAGAGAGAGAGATGACGTACCATTTTCACATTGCTTTGAGTCATTTTCAATCTCTCAGCATCGAAAACAATGACTTCATCTTGAAATGAATCAACTCAAATTGAAAAACATAAATCAATTACCAGAAGCAATTAACAAATTTCAACAAAGGAATACTAAGATGATAAACCAAAATATATAACCATAAACATGAAACCTTTAGTTGAAAAACGAAACATGACAGAAACCTGTTCAAAAACAAAAAAAGCACGATAGAAACCAATTTGCTCAACATGTTAACTTTATGAATTTGAGGTCAATGGTACAATAAGATTCTTTAATTAAAGACTATGGTGTGTTTTTTTTTTTGAACAGGACTATGATGCAGTGTTTTAAAACCCGGCCTGGTGGGTCAACCCGGTGAACCGGTCCCTTAACTGGACCGGTTCTATTAAAAGACAGTTTATGTAAAGAATCCGAGATAAACCTGTTGAACATTTCCATCATTTGAGCATTTTGTGTTTTTTCCCCTTTTGTTTTGCCCTAAATTGTTCCAGGCCAGACGACACAATCAACTAAGCAGTGAGCACAACCTCCACCACTAACGACTGACCAGCGAGCAGACCAGCACAGCAACGATCCATTCTCCAGTCCAGCCTCCACTCCAGCACCAGCAAGCAGCAGCAACCAGTGACCAGACCAGACACCAGCGATCCAGAGTCCAAACAGTGACCAGTGACACTCCAGCAACAGCAGGTAATCGAATCCAGTGCCTCCAGTCCAGTGAGTTCCCCCCTCTCTCTCCCCCTCTTTTGCGCTTCAATCCATCAACTTCCAGTGGGTATGAGATTGACAATAGAGTGTTCGATGATCTGTTAATGGGTGTAGTCTTTTGGCTGTGATGGAAGTGATTTTATGTCCTTTTAATATGCAGGTAATCGGTAGGAAGAAATCAAATATTTGATTATACTTATTGTTGAACTATGTAGAATATGTATAGCATTGGTATGTTCAACTCTTTAGAAACTGTGTAGCATTGGTATCCAACAACGTTAGTTACATTCCTATGGTTGGAAGTGATGATAGTTCAATTGTAGGGGGGGTTGTGTCAAGGAGGCTTAGTGACTTGAATTATTATGGTGTTATTATGTTATTTTTCTCTACTTAACTTTACAAGTTATATTGAAAATTGAATACATTGAAATTGGATACATGTTTGATGATTTGTTTTTACTTAACTTTACATGTTTGATGCTACTTTTATAATTATTGTGATTTTTTCGCCTATTTATTATTATTTATAATTATTTTTTAATTTTTTATTATATTATCGGTCCGAGCAGTAACCCAACGATTGAACCAGTGACTCATTGACCAGGTCCCTTCACCGGGTTGATGTCTGGACCGGGTTTTAAAACTATGCTATGGTGTATTTGACTTTATGCATACCCCTTCCCTGTCCCTTTCCCTCCCCCTCACCCCCAAAAAAAACAAAAAAAAAAAAAAATACAACCCAATTCTCATTTTTATCTTTTTTCCCAGTTTCAAATGTAAGCCAACATCATAATCTACAACTTCCAGTACGACAGTATAAGTTCATTATATGACATAATCATTACACCATTCCAGTTTTTACATTATCTAGTCAATAATAAAAGTAAGGCAAATTATGAGTTTTCATAACATTTATCCAGACTCAAAAAGTGGAGGGAATATATGAGGTAATTATGTTCTAAAAACGAAGTAAGAAACTACCTAGTAAATGCTGGGAATTCAAAAACAAGACGAACAATGATTCCAAATTTTACATTATTTACTCAATAACAAAAGTACGACAAATTATAAGTTTTCATAACATTTATCTAGACTTAAAATTTTATCATGGCCTTCGAGGACTCCAAAAGATGTAAGGAACAAACGAGGTAATTATATTCTAAAAAATGAATTGAACAACAAATGCCGGTAATTCGAAAACAAGATGAACAATGATTCCATCTGCAAATTTCTTAAAATATTAACTATTCAATAAAAAAAAAAAACCTTGAACTTTCTAGTTTTTTCTAGGGAAGACCTTTTCGGGATTAACACCAACGGTCAACGAATAGTTTGTGAGCGCCTTATGTAGAGTCGTTACATCAGAGAAAAAAAGGTATAGGTGCTAAGGGTGGAGGCCTTCCCAATTCCACCATATTATAGTTGTCTACTCGAGACACCAAAAGGAAAAGTGGTTTGAGGAATGGAAATACACATCATTTATTATAGTGGTGGAAGTTGGCCCGTTCGATGTTAAAAAGTTAAAAACCAATGTTCTAGCATCCAATGAAAGAATATTCCATCTTTTCTAAAACATATAGACCCCTCAACAAAAAATAAGTACTCTGTCCCAACAGGTTTTTTTTTTTTTAATAAATTTCAGCTATAAAAATTATGCATGCAATCAATCACTAGTACTCTCTTAAAACATCTCAAGGTTCTTCATAAAATTAAGGACAAGTAACTAAGTCTAGGATATAACAAAAATATTGCATACTAGTCACGAAATGAGACCTTGCATTGATAACATATCTCATAAATATCTACAAAGAATAATGATAAACTGCAGCATAAAATAGATTAAGTACCTTAAGACGTTGGGGAAGATCTTTGAAACCCTGATCAAGTGCGTTCCCGGTTTGAACTTTCCATTCCTCCCAGCTTCCCCATCTGGAAATGTGAACTACTCACCAAAATTTAGCAAATCCACATCTAAAAAATGAATTCAGAAAAGAAAAGAAGAAAATCTGAGGTCATAAAAGCAAGGAATTAACAATAATGAACTCACATCTGATACACCAGCTGACTTAGTTCTATATTGGGGTTCTGTCACACTGAACAACCATTGCTGCAACAACAACACAACGATCTCCTAAGCTTTCAAACTCTAAAGCACCAATTAGGTGTCTTTGAGCAAAAACAAATGAATTTCAGCTATGTTTAGTAGAGTGGAAATAGAGAGTGAAATTGCAATCAAGAATTTAGCATAAAATTTTCACTTTATGACGCATGGATAGCCCGGTAAGTTTAACATATCCGTGTCGGATACCATATCAAATATGATACTCGTCGGACATTCAAATATATATATCAAATATGCAACAAATGTATCCAACAATATATAAAATATGTGGATATTTTACAAATATTTTTATATGTAGAAAAACAGGAATAATTTTTAGTTTTAACCTTTACTCTCTTCTTTTAATTTCACATACAATATAATACATCAACAAAAATTCATATGATTTTGAAGACATGAAGAGTATAAATGAATTGATTAGTCTATAATCATAACAATAAATATTTCTAAGTAAACAGTCTAATTAAATGTTTTATTTCTTTAATTAAGCATGTTCATTTTGTAGATATATCATAATAAGACAATACGTACATATTTTAAAATAAAAAATATTAATGTTCTTTATTATTGTTAAAGAATTACTAAAAATTATTACTATCAAATTGTCACATAATAATATAAATATAAAATATATTTTTTATAGCTTTATCTTGACCATATATGAATCCAATTTATTTTTGGATTTTACCGTATAACTATATCCATGTCCATATCGTATCTTAAACTTATCCCATATCCGAGTGTACTTCCTAACTTAGCCATGTTTTATACCAATCCACATTTTCAAACAACGCATAGGTTTTGAATCCTGCTATCATCGTTGACAACTTTCAAAAAAAGAAAAAGAAAACAAAAGAACCAGACACAACTAGCCTAGTGGAAGAAAACGATCATCCTATTTTTGTTTTAACCCAAAAGAAAACATTCAAAATTTGATCTCTGCTTCTTCTCATTGATTTTCTTAACAACCAAATAGAAAGTTAATTATTAGCTACAAACAGTCAAATCTCCAGCAAAAAGAAATTCAGAGCAAAGAATCGAACCTTAAACGCATACTTAGGGTTTCCAGGCTACACCTTGTAAGCATCAACAATCGCCTGATAGAACACCAAAAAAACCATTCAAAACCTCCAAAATTCGAAGGCACATCGAAAAGACGTATAATGACTTACTTGAATGTCCCGATCGGCGAGAGAGAAAGGAAGAGGATTCACGTGAGCCATCTGAGCGGTCAACTGAGCCTTTCCGAACGGCAACCCCGGTGTCAACGTTGACTGACCGAACGGGGAAGATTGTGCTTGCACGGCACCGAATGAAGTCGAAAATCCAAAACCACCGGAGCTTTGTTGTGGCTGAAACAAAGGAGTTTGTTGCTGTTGCTATTGGCGTTGGGATTGTTGGGAGAATGGGGTTGAGAACAGTGGTGTACCGAAGCCGGTGGCGAATGAAGGCGCGGATAGAGTGCCGAAGGCGGGGTGGAGGATGGGGTGCCGAAAGCAAGGGTGGACTGAGCTCCGAACATTGTTGTTTTCTAGTACCCGCTCACAGAGAGGTAGGGAGTTCAGAGAGACCTGGGGAATTGGGAATTGGGATTTGGGATTTGGAACCCTAGGTTAGGGTCTGTTGTGAGTTTCAAGCTATTACCCATTTTTGGGGTGCAATCTCTTTTATAATCCTTTTTATATATCTGATAAAAAAAAAAAATCCTTTTTATATAAGTTAAATTACATCCACCTCCTAAAAAATTTGTCTAAATAACAACGAGACGCCTCAGCATCAATAATAACACTGCATTCCCTTCTGCTATGGTTGTCTATAGCATAAAACCCCAAAGGAATCGGTTGTTTCGAATATAAGATTTTATATTCATTTTACTTTGATTCAATGGTATATTATATACGATCTTAAACTATAATCTTATTATTTTCTTTATTTGTTTGTTACAAAATATTATCAGTGTAATACCTACTTAAAAGAGTCAAAATTTGCGACTATGACCCGTAAAAAAACAATTATAACCTTGTAATTTTAAAAAAATAATTGTACATAAGGGTAATTGGATCTTTTTACTCTATTATACTTCCATTTTATTTGTATCGGGCATATAATACCACCTGATTGATGGTATTCATTAAGACTATCTACAAGATATTATAACTATTGTTCATAGCGGGTCAGTATTACGACCCAAAATATAATATTGAATATAAAATACTAAACAAATAAGGTATAAAATAGCTCTCACGTACTATTTCTCTAATATTACCTCCTTATATCCAATTTAATCCTTAAAACAGACAGCCCCCAGTTGTTACTGACTTATTACCGTGTAGTTAACTGGGAGTCATAAAAAACTTATGACGTAACCAACCTATTATTTGAAAATATCAATATTACCTTTATCCAGATGTAAGATTAACTAAACTTATTGCCAAACAAGTCGGCTCAAATATGTTTCTATATTTACCCATGTTTTGATTTTGCTTCGATTTCGAAATTGAGTCGAAAGATTGATAAATCCAGTAGGCAGCGATGAAGATTATCGGCATTTTTGTCTTCCAAACTCTCCACCACCGCTGATTATTGGCGATTTTCTCTCTCTCTCTCTCCCCCCTAGGAATTTTGTCTTCCAAACTCTCCACCAGATTCAGATTTTCTACATATTACTTCTATGGCGTAAACCACCTCACTGAAAAGGCTTTTGGGTGGGAATGAGTTCATCAGTTTTTTGGTTGGTGGATTGGGAAAAAGGAGAGAAAGGCAGTGGTGTGGTTTGATTATGTAAGTCGGTGGCGATTGATCATGGTATTTGGGGGGATCGATCGAGAGAGAGAGAGAGAGAGAGAGAGAGAGGGAAAGAAGGAGATGACTGCTACGAATAAAGTTTTTTGAGAGGTATGGGAATTGAAGGAGAGGGAAAAAGAGGTGGTGGACAATGATTTTGCTGCTGGTTTGTTTGGTGGGGTTGGTTATGATGAGTTTGGGAGAAAATGGAGAAGATGAATTTTGAGTGAAATACGTGAAAGGTTATTATAGTCTATTAATGATTTCCGTTACACAAATGAAACGGAAATCTATAATCTATAATATAAAATAGGGTGGCTTCAATAAGCTGATGGTCTCAAATTTATTCATCTAATAATCAAGAAATTATAATTTTTCCTTAATATTTTCTCTTCCTCAAAAAGCCAACAATTATGGTTGATCTTTGAACACATCTTACGGTCTCAAATTCATTCATCCAACGGTCAAGAAATTATAATTTTTTTCCCTAATATTTCCCCCCTTAAAAAGTCAACGATTATGACTAATATTGAACATATCTTACGGTATTAAATTCATTTATCCAATGATCAATAATTTTTTTTTTCTCAATAAATTAATACTTTGTTAATCATTTATATAAAATGCGGGTGTATTAAAGAATGTATGCTAGGTTTTGAACTTAGTGTGCGTCCAAGTTCAATGCTTGATTATTTTATGTTCACGATAAATATTTGATTTTTTTTTAATAATACAGTACTTTCAAGCATGAGTTACTGGCAAAGAAGGTCAGTGTTATTTTCTATATATGAGGGGGTTTCCTTGTTATTTGGACTAGTCTTAAGGAAGATAGATGTAATTTACCCTTAAGGTTCGTTTGTTTAGCAAAAAAATGATAACAAATAAAAGAAATAGAAAATTTTTAATTTTTTTATATGTTTGATTAGTATGAGAAAGAAAATAATAAAAAATAATAAATTTTTTTCTTGAATCTTCTCACAACTAACTAACTTTTTTTCTTGTAAAAAATACAAAGAAATACAAGTTGTAATTTATAACTAACTTCTCATTTTACCCTTATTTTTCTTAAAATATTTTATTAGTTATTAATTTTAAAAAATTTTGATATAAATTTGATTAATCGATTTTTGTGTTGGTGATTATCCTAAAATTAGGTTTCAAGCCATTTGTTTTTTGATTTTTTAACTTTCAATTATAATACGTATATTTTTTTATTTTTTAAATCAATTTAATTATAAAATTTTTCATTCTAACTAAATATATGAATAAAAATATATTTGGCATAACTTTGCACATTCTCTCTTATGAGATACTTATTCTTATCCCGAGGTATGGTTGTGGCTTCTTGGTGTTGCGTTTGGGGTACACCCCTTACTACTCTGCGTTTGAATTTGAAAGCAATGAATGGGAATATGGGAGTTTGTGGCTACTTTTCTCATGTACTGATTTCGTTTTGCTCCATTTCTACACCAAGTAAAAATATTATTTTTCGAGTAAAAATAATAAATTTTGAATGAAAAAATATCCCTTGTCGGTGACATTCCTATTCCTATCTTTAAGTGAATATTCCATTTTTTGAATAGATATACCTATTTTAAAGTGAAAATATCATTTTTAAATAAAAATACTATCATTTTACGACTGAAAATACCAGTTAGATTTTGAATAAAAACATTTCGCTTTTTGGGTGAATTTTCCAATTTTGCCACAACATAACTGAAAACCATGTCAATATGTGACTGTCACCAGAGAGCGCCCATTCATGAAGTACAATCTAAATAAGTGCTTATAAAACTGAACGACTCATCACAGAATACCAAGCAACCAAGGTACTCGACACAGAAAATATTAGCAACGATCACCACACATGGATTCATTCAGTACTCAAATAAGGTCTCCAAACCGCACAATATGGATGCAAACACACCAACTAATAGCAACGTGAACTAGGAATAGATCTGTCAGCCACTATGACAAACCTTTTAGATAATCAAGTACTAAGATTTTCTATAAGAGTATAGAGATAGATTGCTGTTAGTATTCATATCTCCAAATTTGAAATTATAAGAATCACAAATTTCTTAACATCATGGGAAAGGAAGTACCATTCGTCTAGGAAAATCAATCTGTGGAACCCTGTCAATTTCTGGAATCAGAAAACACCGACAGCTCTAGCTGAAAGCTTAAACTATCTTCCGAAGGCAACAAGAACTTGCCACAAATTTTTCTTAGTAGAGAGATCTTTCTGTACTCAGAGCGGGTATGATCAAGCAAACTTTAGTTTAAGAATCCATATATCAATACTTTTATCGTAAGGATTAACAGAGATAATACTCCACATACTAAAGAGAGAAACAGGTTTAACCACTAGTCGGCTCCATCTAGAAAATTATGTAACATAAAACTTACTGACCTTGACATTGCTTTAAGATCCAGGAGACAGGAGAGTTTATTTCAATCATTAGTTAAACGGATTGAGAAAGAAGTCGGTCTCAAATGGTGTTTTGAGAAGATGAATTTCTTGGAAGTGGCTGTTGCTATTTCTGTTTGCAGGCATGGTAACGGCCAGGGGATCAGTTGACTGTTGTTCAACCTGCCAGTATTCTGATGAAGCAAGTGGCAAATTTTGGGGCACTGCATGCATCACATGCTGAGGCATGCTGGTATGAGCTGCATGCATGATGGGGTGATCAATGGACTCCGGCTCACATGAACCCCAGGAAGTAGTTGACAGAAGAGAGAGAGCACGGTGAATATCCAGTGCTGCATCTAAGGTGCGAGGACGCATGGATTCCTTGGAACCTGTAAAAAATCGTCACATGATGATCATGGGATTCATGCTACAATTATTTTAATGAGATTAATAATTGCGCATGATGAAAGAATCTAGTATGATAGCGCTTATGTAGAAATTGGACTGTGATCAGATTCCTGAGAATTACATCTTTTGTGGTTCTCCAAGTGTCATGAAATGCAACATTACTTTGTGATTGCCTCTTTTTTCAATTGCAAGTGCTTAATGTTGACCAAAAGAACCAATTCCCCATCTCAATTTTATCTACTAGAAAAACTGAAAAATATCCTGCAACCCACTGAAACCTACTTATGTCTTTGCAAAGGAGCACCAACTCCTAAACTATAAACAATAATCCTGGGTTAGATATTTGTATAGTTTAGGAGTTGGTGCTACTTTGCAAAGACGTTAAACTAATTTCTTGTATTTTCCCTTCTTTTAGCTCATATTTGTAGGATCCTTTATAGTCGGCATTATTTATGAACTTGAATCTGCTTATCCTAGCCCTGGGCTGCTACTTTAGCATGGAAATCTAGTTGCTCCTATTACCCCATGTTCTAGAATTTAAGTCCGACATCTTCCATTCTTTATTGTTTACTTCTAGATTTCAGCGACACAAGCATATAATTATCATGAAAAAATCTCTGTATTATAAAAACTTCTTCCCTTCATCCAAAAGTCAAAAGGAAGTCCGATAAACCTTAACTTCATGAGATGTTCACAACATAAAAGTTAGGTCAAAGGATGCATGTTTCGCGTCAAAAGTAATTTTCAGGCAGAGAGTTCTTAAGTGGGCTAAGCAAACCTCATCCATCACAGGATAAATTAATGTCATTGGGATTCTTACTAACTGTGTTCCCCTAGTCAACCATGCGATGGAGAAAAATCCAGACAAACCTTGACCAAGAACCTCAGTTGTGGTGCCCTTGAATGACATGATGCTA